TGTCAGGTCTCTATCTCTCCTACCAGCAGTCTGTTCTGCTTCACTTGCCAGTGTATCGTGGGGGTGTCTTTTGTCTTTACGCGCACTCTTCTTCACTTCTTTGTCCAGTGTTTTATAAATTGTACTCAGTTCCTCTTCTCGTCGTTCATCCTTGCACTGGTTTATCTTCTGCTTCGCAATCCTCCTCTCCTCTATCAGCTTCCATGAGTCCGTCTAGATCCATCCCTTATCTTCTTTCTTCTTCCTACTTAATATGGTTATGGTTATGAATACCATCTCAATAATACCGAATCCAATCCAATACCGTTCTCGAAGTTGAAAGTTCGGGACAAGTGCTTCTGAAATAATTACTGAAGATGCTATTCACTCGATGCAGTTGTTTCAACTACGCTTATTTATAACTTCATTCGAGTTAAATATAGAGTTTACATTTTACATGTACTGTGCAGGAAAAAATATGACCATCCATTAATTTACTGAACAAAAAACAGTCCTGTTTATTACTTCCACCCATTCATTGCCGTAAGTATCAATTAATTATAGACATTCACTGTATTCTCTTGTGCATGTGAACTTAATTTTTAGCTGTAGCATGCAAAGAAGAATAACAAGCCTTTGATCAGTATCATGAAAAAAAACATTAGAAAAATATCTTGATAACTGTGTCACCCAGTAGCCTATCTTGAAACCTCTTGATAAGATATGCTGAGCAGAATGAATCTAGATCGGTAAGCTTTGTATTTAAAAGTAATTTACATGATTTGTTAAACTGAAGGGAAATATTTCGGATACAATGTAAACAGATATATATATATATACATATATATATATATATATATATATATATATATATATATATATATATATATATATATATATATGGATGACACGCAGTACACCCAGCGATGAAATTTACATGTGATGAAGAGTTAGAAGGCAATTTAGCGCTTCTTGATGTTCCTCTCTCGAGAGGAAAAAATGGGTCGATAAGGAGGAATTAGTTTAGGAAAAGTATGTGGATGGGGCAGCACGCACATTTTCTCAGCTTCGTCCCCTTTCAGTATCGAATAAACTTAGTAAAAGCTTTAAGTTACAGAATAAGGGCTACATATTCGGAAGATACATTTTAGGACCAACTGGCAAGTTTGCGCAACACAGTAATCGAAGACGGCTATTCATAAAGAAATACATGGTTACAAAAATGGCAGGAAAGGATGTTTCAGCAGCTAATAGGAAAACGCTATATATCTATGTACAGTTTAGTGGTAAACTACGCAGATCATTCCAGAGAACTTTTAATGCCGGTAAATTACGAGTTTCGTTTTCTAAATGCTCTATTGTGACACCCAGACCGTAAGACGAATCATCTAGACTGGCCGCTTCCTGTTGTGTTTATTGGTTCGACTACTCCTGTGGAGCCAGTTGTCTGCCGCTGCTCCAAGAATTTAGTTTTCCATGGTCGTGAACACCTTCCGGCGTGGTTAAGTAAACACGTGCTAAAGACCATTACCAGCATGCCTGGTTGAAATGGACCATAAAGTGGATATGAATGAATCCTTTTCTATTCTGCACCGTGTTCCCATTAACTTGACAAAATGCACCATGCTCAGGATCTTTCAGACTGCAGAAGCAGTAGCAATCAGGATCAGACAACCCCAGTTGTGTGTTCAAAAGAAAAATATGCTGCCGTTACGGTTACTACGCCCCAATTCGGGAGGCACGAATTCCTAGTGCATCCTATCACATAATTAGATTTCATACTGTAGATAACCTTTCTTCCCTGTAACCTGAAGTAATTTTAACAAGTTCTCTTAAACTATTTTGTTCTCTGATAAAATTCTATCATTCCTGAAAATATCCTTCTTAGTTTACTTCATCTAGCTTTTATAAGCAACTTATTATTTTATGAAACTATTACCTTATAGAGTTACATAAGCCGTATAATTGTTGAGGTAGTCAATTATTTTGAATTGAATCCCAGTAATAACTGGTTCTATCACTAACGTTCACACAAGACTTTTCTGAATAGACTTCCTCAACTGCGAAATATTAACAAACTGATAGGCGATATCTCAATATTGTTGACGCGTAATTCTTCAGTATGTACGTATAACTGTAGGGCCTTAAGAAATTATCGAAAAGAATATTCTTTGTTCACGCAAATGGCTTTTAAATTGGAATGAGAATTTTTAATGATATATTTACTGATGTGCTGGTCAAGTAGAGATGCTTTGCAGAAGAACCAAACAATATTCCTAACAGAAAAATATTGGTGAACAGGAAGTGATGCATACTGACTGAAAGACAAATTAACGAAGAACTACGGACAGAAGAGAATCGGTCCAAGTTACCATACCTCACAAGAGGATACAAAGCAAAAGTCGGTAGCAAAGCAGTGATATCAAAACAGATCGAAGTGCATAAAAGTTGAGGGGAAATATATGGAGGTTAATATACGTCCAAGACTTCAAAGACGACAAAGAGTGTACATCTCTGTGATTGTGCGACCAGTTTTAGACCAAGGAACGTCAATCGTAATCAACTATTGATTCTTATTATCTCAACGACCCCAGTCAGGCGGTCTAAATCTCCCCACACGGTTTAGGGAAGCAGGCAGAAAATTCGCGCCTTCATCTGGCTACTCTGAGCCTTCTTCTAACTCAATTGTCCGTCGGTTAACAAGGCACATGAAGTTAGGTGGTGGCTCGTAGTCCATAATAATTGTGCAAGGCGCCTCAGTAGCTGGATATCCACAACTTCATCGATCGACTTGCCTAGGACGTTTTCCTTGACCTAAAAGTTGTTCACAGGGTGACTTCATTAAACGCGAGTAGTGTTACGAAGATGCCGGTGATCAGAAACTTGTTACCTAACCATATCTTTTACTTTCAGTAGCCATATCTCACAGCCATATAACAGGATAGAAGGAGAGAGTATTAATAACCCTTTCACGAATATCCTTCTGTTAGCTGAACTTTATCAACGATAACTAGAGCAAGTATTCATCTATTGAGTCGATTAGAAAGTAATCGAAAAAATCTGATGGAAAATCAGGAAAGCTAGCTAACATTCCTCATAACTGCCATAAACAGATCAATCACAGTGGAATTTGAAAGTTAGTGGAACAAGGCCAAAATCCTAGTTACAGGACATTATAGTGCATAAAAGTATATATGCACACCAATACTAAGATGAAACGTTGTTTGAATAATCAGCTCAGATATAAGCAACAACGGCAATAGCAGTAACAAAAATATGTGAGGCATGCAACGAAAGAAAAGCGAGTAAATATAATGAAGTATTTCTTAAAGACAAAAAGGACAACGTGATAGATTACACAAAATTCACACTTATTTCGTAGTTAGTGGGAAAAAGAAGGGAAGACGTTATCCTCTTCATGAATTAAGTCGAGCGCAAATACGATTCACATCGAAGAACGAATGTCACAAACACACACGAGTAAAACACGTAAAAGGGAAGTCTCCTGCGTCGGTGTTTTGTTCGATAAACGCTTAGATGTCCTATTAGACAAGGCTACTAGGGCTTCACACGGATGCACTGATAACGATGTCTAGCACGTCATTGAAAATTTGCCGACTAAAAACCCAGCACAGAAAACATTCGACTTCGAACATCCACGCCTTCAAATATTTTCTACAATTTCTAGATGTCACGTTAGAACAGGTTTCCCGGATAATGAAAAACTGACATTATCGGAATTACAGACAGGAAATATATCACACTAAATAGATAGCTGTTTCAGTCTGCTGGACGGAATATGCATACGAACTAGAACAGAATAGAATCGTAGAAAAAGTATGCCTCAGTTCCAGTTGTTACAGTTTAATATGCAATAGTGAAGAAAATGAGCAGTGAAAGAAACTCTTATGACAAATCAATTATATGGAAATAAGAATCTCAGAAAAGCATTGTCGACTGTATTATCTAACTTATTTCACACAACATTTGATTCAAAACTTACTCTATAGCATTATTGCATAACTTAGCTATGGGACATTCTGCAGACTCCCCACTTCCGTTCTAGTCATGTTTGAGAAATAACCACACGTTAAGTGGAACCAGTTATTGCGCATTGTCTTAATTTCTATATATTAAATCAGTTGTTTTATTTTGATGGATTACAGTTCATCGTGGACATATAATTCAACTTTTTATACAGATGACTCAGTGAGAAAATATAAAGACAATAAACTTCAGACTATGTTCTGGTGCAAGAGGTTAGGAGGGAAAAGTCATTGTCATTTAATCTTTTTTCACATCTCTGCGATAATATGAATGCATAATCTTTAACTTTTTTCAATTCTTCAGCATACGATAACGACTCGACCCTTAGACCCTGGAAACTGCTTTTCAAACTAAACATCGGATACTTTAATGTCTGCATCCTTCGACAAATAAGGCAAGCTTCGTTAAACTATAGTCTGGCATCTCGGTGTTTGTAAAACGTGCAAACAAAATATGAGAGCGGTTATCCATCCAACCTCGCAAAACTTACTTGATGACTCTGCAAACTTCATTGTTTGATATTACAGATATTCAGTGGTTACTTCTCATAGTCTTGCGGGTGTAGGCAAAAACGCAGAAAGTGCACAACTCGACTATGTTTCAATAAAGTTGTCTGTGTGCTGTTTGATTCAATGATATAGCACTGCCGTTGTCTTTTTTTAATACTTGCCTAAACATCCACTGATTTCTGTTCCGTTAAAGTGATAGGATTTTACCGAAAGCTGACTATCCTACCAAAAAATAAACGTACAGATGTGGTCTTCACAGTAGGTAATTCCAATGCACAATTAGGAAGGCTAAGACAGACAAGAAGGTACTGGAATCTGATAATTTCTGGATTTTAGGTAAACGAGAGGATAATGGTGATCGCTTACTACAAATATGATAGTTTCACACTCTCTTTCTATGCCTTTTGCATGAAGAATATGAAACAAGAATTAAATAACCAATAGTGAAGAAAGAGTATAACTTACATCACCAGAAGCTAAGGCTTTTGAAGGAACAAATAATTCAGGATAAACGTTATTCAGATACCACTGAAATGAATGACATTTCAAATTTTCACGTAGCGCTTTACGGTCTGAAACATCACCGAAATCCACCTGTTGATAAGAAAAAAGCAGAGGTTCAATTAGATGCGAGAAGAAACAAATATTAGCTAGTGGTGATTACATCAAAATAAAACCAGCTTCACTCTACACATAGTTACCACCTATCAGCATACTTGAAGTAATCAGGAAAATGACATGCGGCAACGAAAAGTGTAAATACACTCGAGTAAGTATACAAAGTACAAGTTCATCTGCGTTTTAATGTAACTGAACAGTCTGCTAGTATTTCCTGTAGTCTTAAGCAACTAAACAACAAACACTTGGCATTCTACTGAAATATATGACCGTACACGACTGGTAGGTCTAAGTGTTAATAAAAGAGGTTTACTCTTTACCTAAGCATGTTCGAATGTATGTTCAAAACTTTAATGATCACGATATGGAAAATAAATAACGCAACGCACACCAGTATAGCAAAGAATTATGTATTAAATTTGCAGTTATATGCTATATGAAGTTTATGATACTATCTAGTTGGCCGGACAGAAACAAATAATTTAGAAAAATTACGGCAGCCCAGTGACAAAACATACTACTTGGTTGCAAACCACACCCACTATGTAAAGCTTTATGATACCTCTCAGTTAAGACTAAAGTATTAAAGTGGCATTCAAAAATTGAACTTTGAAACTGAGCATCAGTACTTCACGTTGATGAGAATATCTTGAATGACATTAAAAGGTTTGTCAAACAAGACACAAGGTTAGAGGACAACCCATTCATCCACATCCTGAGCATAGAATATCCTCCATCGTACCTAACTCGTGACTAAAGTTTAATTGGTGGGAAAAGGCTTGAAATCACGACCGAATGAGTGGGGGTCGAGTGCTAAAACTATGGTCGTAAAAGTCCAAAACCACAGTTTAAACTAGGAATACACATTTACAGTAACTGCAAAAAGTAGAATTTGTGTAATGAATGCCTGTCATTTGTAGCCGAAACAGGTTATGCAAATAAACACAGAGAGAAAATGAATCTTCACTATTAGTGTCATTTACTGCAACCACAGATTTAGACTATAAAATAGTTTCAAACTGGTGAGTTAGTGGTTTCCAAAGAACTCAAAAGTCACTCTAATCACATGCTGAAAAACTGTAAGCTGGTGAAACACTGAAAAGTTTCGATGGTGAGTTCTAGGAATTTCCATTACAATGTGTTCAAGAAAGCGCCTGCAAAAAGGGAATAAATATGCAAAAAGCCGGTGTTGAGTAATTCAGCTGTTGAGTCAATGACTTCCGATCCTAACAGATAATACTTTGAATTTAAATCAATTGACAATATGCAGCTCTGTAAGATTATCATAATTTTTCCCACTGCCACAGAGAAAAACGTTTGACTAGAAACCACAAAACTTTTCTATAGCAGTTGATATTATTCAGCTTTGGTTTAGAAACTTTAAGCAAGTAAACTTTACTTTGCTCACTTCAAAAAATTAAAATCTGACCGTTATAAGCCCTGAGCAATCAAAATATGACTCAATGATTTGTCAAATTCATGGATTATTTCTCTGACAGGGGATGGATGAGACCTTAAACACCGCAATCAGTTCACCAAGGTTAATACAAATGAGATTTGCAACTACCCATAATTGCAGTTTTCAAGTGTAATCCTTTAGACGCATTTTATCGGTTGTTTTACTTACAGCCAAAGTCGAGTATAAAATGTGAAAATGTTATAAACGAAGATGGGGGAAAACAAGCACGGACACAAAAGAAATAAACAAGTAACCTACCGTTTTGAAGCCAATACGTGCATGGTAAAACCGTTTATAATCATCAAGCCAAACTTCAGCCAACCGAAGTAAATTTCTTTTCAATGGATTTTTAACTTTAACATCCCATTTGTATGGTGAACGACTACGGAAAATATGTCCAACGTAACTGCATACATTAGTTTCCAAAGTGCCACCACACATCCATATCTGAAAAGGCATTGAAAAGAGACAGAGGATTACTTGCTACTTTATAAATATTAAGTAATACATAAATGTTGGTGTCATTTAAGAATATGAGCAGAACCCATATGACATTCGTGTAGGATTATCATACTAGTAACATATGACATATGTATACGAACACTTGGTTAGACCAATTACCAAGGATGGTACATCCAAAATGATCGATACAATTCAATCTACACATTTTACTAAACATTAAATTTGGTTACTATTCATTCATTCATATAGCGGGTCAGTCATGGTCTGAATTCCTCAACAGGGCTTGAAATCTATTCTCATGGGATTGTTGATAAGTGGCACATAGCTAAAAGCGTAGGTATAGGATTTGCGTATGGCTGCCTTCCATCATCCAATAACTACTGTTTCGGTCTAATTGATCGAGCAGTAGCGTCAGTCACTTCACAAGTTCTAAGATTCGCTCAAGCCAGTAGATGGTTAATGAGCTGCAGATTTCCATCCCACCGGCTTTTGTTTTCTGTGCATACATATTCTAACTATTGCTGATTATCGTCAGTATGGCTACTCATAACATGCCCCTATAATCTCTCTAAATGATACTTCGTATCGTGGATTTTTATTTATATATCTAAATACTAATTTGTATACACGAACAACAAATCTTCATATAGGTCAACACTGGGTAACTGATTTACCTATCTAGAATTCAGCACTTAATACTAACCCAGGTATAACCGGTTCCATATTAGATTTGTTTTTTTGAATTTATCACATAAACTGATGCAGTGTCATTTTCTTTATGACGTTTCGAGCATAAATTACTCCTCATAATCACATCAATGTAATCACACTTGTTTTGATATCTGATTTTTATAGTCCTGTCACCTGATAATATTTGTTTTTATTTGTAGTAACGTCTTCCATATCTCTGGCATCATTTCTATTACATGTGTTGAGTGTTGATTTCATGAACAAAGATTCAGTAATCAATCTCTTCACCTAATTCTACTGTTGGACTTAAGTACAGTGGTTTTATCCCACCCTATTGTGTGGTTGTGTGTCAATGCATGCATTGCAATAGCCAAGTGTTTTTTTAGATTATTGATCTTATTCGGGTCTTGCTTTAACTGACATTGGACGAGATGACTTGAAGTCTAGATACCTATTGGAATGTGTCGGTTTTCTGAAGACGGTAATATACAAACTACCATCTGTCCTTTGATTTATCTTACAATCAAACATAGGTAATTCTCCTTATTCATTTCCTACCTCGTAAGTGAATTGGTATTAGTTGGTATTTTAGTATGAAGACTTGTTTCATTGAAGTTAACCATTTTTCAAACTCTTCTATGTGTAGGTCATTAAGCCTTAGTTTTAACTCGTGAGAGTTTATTAGTCTGGAATCCGAACGGTTCGTAAAACGTATAACCAGGTTCCTAATAGGTATGATCAGGGCAAAAAGTAGAAAAGGTAAACTCTCTCATGCACCAAGCAGTGAACCACACTTATTGTATGACGAGGATAATACTATATGGTTGTCTAAACCTCAACCAGCGGAGTGGGATTCCAGCTCACGACTCACTGCCTGAAAGTCGAGTGCTTAGACCGATGAGCCACAGCTCAATTTTAGTCAGGGCATACCTAGTGCTTTCAAAATTCGATGCTAGATTATGTGAAAGTTTATTAAAGGAAGATTTACGGTGGTCTTACGAAAAATCATATCAATTTCTAAATTTATCAAATGTTAGTATAAGCCTTCAGGAGACATAAATGTTTTTGATTAGTGTTCTCAGTCATTGCAGCATAAATTTGATGCAGAAGTAATTTGGATATTTCTGGGCTGGGTAAGTGAGACCAGTACTATTCCAGTCTAACTTCTCCCTTTCACTCTCTCATGATTACTCTTGCTGATTTTTCCTCTGTATCACTCCAAACAGTGGAAATAAAGGTAAATTCATCAACTTTCGACGTTCCATATCGTTGCAGTAACTGCCAACAGATAGAATTGTTTACGCAAAAGTATATAAGATATAAGACAATAATTATATTAGCCATAGGACAAATAGAAGAATCAATAAAATAAGTAGAGATACATGGCATACGATTCAGACAATGGTGGGAATGTATATCTGTCAGTCATCTCATGCAGCTTCCCTACTCTGACTATCGTTCCGATTGTAATTCTATTTGAATGTCGTGTTTTTAGCCAGTATTTAAACACTGTTAGGTTAATTAGCTCCAGTTTTATAATTCTTGATAAGAATTTGAGTTCATGAAACATCTATGGTCAACTGGAACTACTTTTCAAGCTACACAACAGAGGTTTCAATACCCGTACACTCCGTTAAAACAGATAATAAGCTTAGCTAGCTAAAACTCTGATGTATCGGGTCATGGATGTGTACAGTATTTGCAAGACACGTGTGCACGAACTGTGTGTGATTCTCACTTAACTTCACTCGAACAATATGATGAATCTGCAAGATTCACTCTTCAAGTTTCTTGACATCCAATAAATAAACCTCTTGGTTTTACAGGTGTAAGTATAGCATTACGTTCCAAGGCGGAAAGTAAAATGCTCGACTGGATCTTAGACGATAGTCGACTGACTATGCACTGCTAGATTGAAAGGTTAAGTAAGGACTGAAAAGAATAGTAAGACTCAGGACTATCTCCTGTAACCTCTACCTATGCACTCACCGACTGCAGCCTGGAAGAAGCTATGGATGAGTTCAAACAAAAACTGTCAAAACATTCAAACATTCAGACGTGGTTGTTGTCGTTGTTGTAGGTGATTTCAATACATAAGTAAGTGGGCTAACCAAGACAAAAAGACACTTAGATGGCACTTTCGGAATCCCCAAAAAACGGACAGATAACGGTAACCGTCTGCCACATCTATTTCTTGACAGCACGAACCTCAGATAAAAAGATAGTCATCATCTGACGTCGTGTCCCCTGGAGAGCGTCAGTGGGAAATGTAGCGATGGTGGGTGACAGTGAGTAGTTATTGACACCTATCAAAGGAGCCGCTGCAAAAAACCAATGTTTAGTGAGACTAGACTGGAGAAATAGGGATCTCATTTCGCTAGCGAAGAAGCCTGGAACAACGGAAACAGTTCACCTGGACTCTAGCTGATATTTCGTTGCTCGCTACCCAGCCGGATCCGGAAATGAACATTAAGATAGAGCATCCAACACTCTCGGAAGTCAAGAGAGATAATAAGGATAGTGATCAAGGAGTATTAGTTGGATTATTTGGTGTGTTAGCTAGAGGTATGGGAATCAGATATGATCATCTTTTAAAATTTTCAAAAACTCCCTGTCCCAGCCTTCAAAATAGGACACAAATCCCCCTGCAATAACCATAAGGGAGTCGGTTTGACAAAAGGTGTCTAAGAACCTATAGGTTTACCAATCATTCCACTCCCAAATGAAGCTAGAGAGTAGCGAACCAATGAGAATCAGGCAAGTTTCAGATGTGGTTGTGGGCTTATGAATTCAATATCCTCCTCCACCTTCCTTTAGGCGCTGGAACACAAACTCTTACCAGCACTGGAAAACAGATGCACATCTTGACCTGAAGGTAATATTCAACTCCGTTGAAAGAGACCATAAGTCAATATCTTTCACATGAAAGTTTCCAAGTAAGTATTTTAGACAATTAGAGGATCCATTGTCCAAAACCTGTGATTGTTTTAGAGTCTACAGTGGTTCATAAGATTATTTTTTAATGTCAAATGGTACCCATTTCTCCACTTTTATCCAACCTTATCACAGAACTGTTTATGGAAGCCTCTAATTTTTCATCCACATTTACAGGAAGGATTTCTTCTTAGGCGACTTGTAACTAGATTTAGGATACACGGATAAAACAGTCCTGTCAGGTGAGAACTCTGATAAGACTCAGTCTTTTGAACACCTTCAGTGATAACTTGAGAATACATTTCTGACCAAGCGAACGGAAATTGCTGCTTTAGAACAGGTATATGTCACTACTACCTCTAACATTAAAGTATGGCGTGGTTGACTGTGTTGAACAAGTCACTTGCTTGGGAGGTAGGAGCAGTTTTAAAAGATCAGTCGTCGACGAAATATCGGCACGGGTACAAAAGGTTCGACTGATTCTTGCAAATATGTGCCACATGAGGCATCTTCAAGATATCTAATGTTTGATTATTTACACGTGATCCACATGATTAAGGTGGGTCAGTGAGATCGAGATTTTAGTGAGAGAGAAGTTGTATAATCTACATAAAATATATGTTGCATTTTATTTGCATTGCATCTTTATTTGCTTGTTTACTTCTATTTAATTTTTGATGATAGGAATTGCATTCATATTCGGTTGGGAATAGCTAATAGAATCATAATCACTGATACATTAAATTTGTCTCATAGCCAAGTTGGGCTGAATGAATTTTATAAGGTCAGTCCCACATCTAAAGTCACAAGATTCGAGTACCAGAGGGAATACAATTGTCAACTGGGATATATGTAAATTCTTCTATCAACAATCAGATGACAACTAGATTTTTCGCACGAATCAATCAAAGCAGTTTCTTTGCTGTTTGATGTTCTTATAACTACCTCTGAACAAATGATTTTTTACATAAAGTACCGTGGTGATAAGTCATCTGATGAGGCAACTTTAATGCACAATTACAATCACAGAAGACCAGAATCAGATTTTAATTTTCAACTTGTAACTAATTTATGTACATAATTCCATCCTGTGATAAGTTGACCAAAATTTAAATAAATCTACTTTTATCTCTCGAAAAGGCAGTGAATGATGTCGAAGGAATAACACAGTTTACTACATGATTCGGACTTTTCGAAAATACAGGAATTCGGGTGTTGTAGATCAATTTAATTAATGCTACTGTAGAAAAGTATTGAGCACTAAAAATGCAGCAACTATGGAAATTTTCCATTACACCCCAAACCGATGAAGTGAAAACTGAGCGAAGAAAAAAGTGAATCGACAAAGGAAGACATATTATGGACTAGTAAACTAAAGAAACTATTAATCTAACGTTTAGAAAATTAATATTTATGATACTTGGTGGAGATGGATTGGGCATACACTGAGAAGGCCGACTGGGGACACCACACGTCAGGCCAGGTACTCGAGTGGAACCCAGATGGGAAACGACGAGTTGGGCGTCCGAGGCGAGGGTGGCATGGAGGAGATCGTGCAAGGAGGAAATGAGAGCTTGTGGGCTGTCGTGGCGCCGGGTTCAAAAGATTTCAGAGAACAGAGTTCACTGGAGACGTGCTACTGAAGCCCTATGTTCGATTAGGAACCCAAGGGACAAATAAATAATGATAATAATACATGGTGATGATTGAAGGTGAAATGAAAATTTAGACTACGACAGTATTCGAACCAGCGACAACTGGGAGAGCATGATCTGTTGAATCAGTCAAGTCAAAGTGAGGACATAAATATATCCATTGTATCAAAGTGAAGCGTGGCAATTTAAGTCGATGAACTTCTGTGTCCACGTAGAACTGTTCATGTCCCTACCTTATCGTATACAGTAATGGTTACTGTGTATAACGAAACCGTTGAAGTTATGAACTAAGGTTTACAAGATTTCGACCAAGTAGTTGAATGGTAACGTATTTAGTTTAAAATAAGATACTAGATGTCATCCACCAGGGAATTAGACGAAAGAGCTGTTAAGGGCGATCAAAGCAGAACAAAACAGTAAAACAATATCCGCGGGTTCATATCGATTGACAATTAATACAGTCTTGAAACAAGACATATAAGCGAACATTATTGTTATCGATCCGAGCATCTTCAGGCTATACTCTAAAATAAATAACTAAACGTATATAAAATTAGACGAGCCTTGTAGATTTATCGACCAATGAGAAAACACTTATCACTGACTGAAAAATCTACGGGATTGATTTGATTTTTATAAATGCTTACACTATATGCTCCAAATTTTGCATAACTTTTGCTTGATGTTTGCCTGTAACTCCAAAATAACTTATCATTTCTATTTTCACACTGTTGCTAGCTTTTGTTTTCCCACTACTCTGAAGGCTGAACTCTCATTGGTTGCTAACTCTTTTAACCTAAATATGGATTCATTGTTGTCAAGGTCGTTTAGAAATGTATATATTCAGCATTGCTCCCAACTGTTTTGACCGTTGTTCAGACAATAAAAACTCTCTGTCAATGGACCATCTTCCCTTCTTGTCTTCGTGTGTTGGTGATATTGTGGTGGTGGTTGACGTTCTGATTAGCGTTAGAGTCTATTCTTTTGAGCGTTAGGTTCTTATCGGTCATAGACTATTACGTCACAGTTTGGTGATTTACTTTGGAATAAAGTCTGGTGATGACCTAACGGAAAACGATATTGTTCGCTTATATGTCTAATTCTAATTTACATGATGGGAAGTTTGAGAAAGTCTTTAAACAGTGGCATTTTTTATAGAACTGATGGTTGTAGACTATCAGTGACATGCAACAGAAATGCTTTATATATTGTGTAGTTTTGAAGACTACTAAATCTAACCACTGCGTTCTCCAGTTGAGTTTTTGGGTCGGTTTGTCAGTGCATCTTGCACTGTTACGAAGGTGATAGTGATTCCATAATTTAAAAAAAGTGTCAACACCCGTAAAGAACTTCTTATCCAAAACCATCTGGAAAGAGACTTACTATACTAACTGAAATTGCGTATTCTTTGTGACACTATACCCTTAGTTATACATCATTGAAAATCTGGGTTGTATGTACAAAACGTTCAACAAAAGCTCATTTCCAACGACTTTATACTTCCCTCTTTTATTTTATTCTCAGTAACGATTTCTTCTCATTCCAATGCTTCTTCAAATAAGTTTCACTCTTTAAATATTCCTTTTTGTGTTACCAAATTCGGTAGGCAAACCTTGTGACATTTTGATGAAACCTCAATAATCTTAGTATCTTTGATAGTGAAATTTGGTTTAGTCGTGAAAACTTTTGACAGAATGTTGCACTTATCGTATAAACTATATATTCTCAAAAAATATGAACAATTACAGTTGTACAGCCTTTAGAAAAGAGCCATCAAAAAAGAGATACATTCACAGAACAGTTTGTTGAGAATAGGGAAGTGGTTTGTTTAGATTTCAGTGTCGAATCTCGCTTGGTGAGCTTCATCTACTTGCGGGTTATCCTGATAGTGCATTAGCTGAATACTTTTAAATCTGATACATAAAAACATGTTTAATAATCAGGTAACAACTAAACAATATTGTATCCAACTAGTGAAATTTAGTGAAGTAGTATATATTCACCACATTCGGATGCCACATGATTCAACAAATAACCATCAGTAACCTAAAGACAACCCCAGTGGTGAATGGGTTCAAGTGTCGTCCTTCGCAATAATACAGGAAAGGTAATTTGACAAAAGGAGAAAACAAATGATTTCATCAGCAGAATTTTTAAAAGATTTAAGAGAAACAGATTGATAAACAAGGAAAATTTTTTTCGGACAACTGTTTCTGCTGGTCCTACAGTTACAAATCGAGAAACAACATGGTTATTAAATCATAGAACCCGGGGAAGAAATTATCGAAGAGAATATATCCCTCATCAAACTATGTTTGATATTATTTTTAAAAGGGATAGGGAAAGCTTCAGAACAGGGAATATAAAGAGAAGTAAAAATAAAATATTCAAGGTTTAAGTGAACTGAAGAGGTAGATAATATCATTACATTTTGAATGAATGAATCATCAAACCCGATAGTCTCAAGAAAATCAACTATACAGTCTATACTTTACTGTAAGACTAATGCAAGACGCTTAGTAGCAGTATATATGACAAAATAGACGCTATATCAGTAATCTCAGTCACAGACATTACCACTGAGTCATTTAAAAATTATTTCTTTTGTAATAAGTGAGTGTATAGGCGTGAAACTTGGACAGTGGCAGAATGTAATTCCCTTTTAATTGATTTACTAGATGCATTACACAGTAGGGCAGTAATGTTTATTGGGTTAAGTTTCGCACACAATTCATTGCTCATAGTCACATCAAGATAACTTCTCAGAGACAATGCGTAGAGTTATCAATAAAGCTGGGATTAGAGTGGCATTTGAATCAACAAACTTAGAAATAAGCTTTGTAGGTTAAAAGATCCTACTGATAAAATAATAATTTAAAGTAATTTAGTGAGTCAAATCCTTTAGAACGATTGAAAGGTCGAAGTAGTCCACCAAGTTTAGTCAGGCTATCCGAGCACAAAAGCCTAGCTAAATCGAAACTGGTAGATCCTAGTAAGATAAGGAATGTAGAAAAAAGCGTGGCCATAGCATTGCATGCAATTCCATACAACCACACACAATAGGAGGGGACAGAGTTAAAATCCTTAAAACTAACCTAGTTTGGTGGCAGGTGAGATTAATAACCGTATCCTTGTTTATAGAATTAACACCAAACACATGCAACAGGAATGATTCAGAACATGGTCCGGGTACATGAAAAATCCAGCTGCTTATATCAGAAAGAAGGCGGGAGAATTAGAACGACATAAACCATGTCTCAAAGTTGTGGAGCTATCTGGATCTGACTATGGACAATGAATTGTGTCTGGAATGTAACCCGGTGAATAATATTGTCCCACTGTGTGATATATTTGATAGATCAATCAAAATAGCATGAATGATTGCGGTCTCATTCAGCGCTAATTCTATTCTAATAGCATAGATCAAGTAAAACCTGATGTTTAGGATTTTATTTCACATATTGTACAGTCTGGATAATAACAAATAAGAGAAAGACGGTAACCCGGGAGTTATGTAATACCAAAAGATGCAGACAGATAAACAAAATCAACATAGAATCTCTTACACAAGTTCATCGGTTCAAGTTGCCACAATTCACAGTAGTAAGTAAAGAACAGGTGGATATAAAAAGTGATATTAAAGTAGACAAAGTTCGATCAGAGAATAAGCAATTTGGGGATAAAGGTTAGTGCGAATATTCACGCTTTAGAAGATGTCAAAGAGTGAATGCATCCGCGCCACTGTGACCGATTTTCAGCAATGGCACCAAAAGTTCTCAACCACAAGGGTGAAACGCATGCCAAACATACTTAAATACAGACAGAACAATAATTTGCTTAGTTATTGTCACGTGATGATGAGGTAAACGCACAAGTATACTGATAATAATAATAATAATAATAATAATAATAATAATAATAATAATAATAACGACAATAACGTTCAACCTTATTGATTAAGAACTTTCTAAACTTCCACGTTATGAGTATATTTAAAATTGGAAGACCCCTTCAAGTTAAATCAACTAAGTAGTTTATGTGTCATTCAATACTAAGATTTACTTATTGAGGGTAAAGGTGAAAATCAATAACATCTGTGGATTACACACACTTTTTTATATCATTTTTATACTTTGATTTAGCAAAATCGAAGGCGGTTAAAAAATAGATTGGAAATGTACGGGAAAAAGTAAAAACAACTAAAAGATATAGCACTGTCTTTTCAAAAGATTTATACATGCAAAAAACAGCCGAAAAATATCACATACCTTGAATGATAGTTCTAAGTTTTCTCCTCCCCACACTTCCATACCTGAATCGTATTTTCCAAGATGACCAAAGTAATTACGACTTATAGCGAATAAACCACCTGCCATTGTAGGTGACCTGAAGGATTAAAACAGGTAGAGTATTTTAACAGAGAATGAGTGAATAAGTGCACTACAGAGTCCTCATTACTCAGGTAATATAATACCTAAAAACTGGATGTTTGCTAAACTCACCTCAGATTAACCTCGTTACATGTAAGAATAAAACTGGTAGGGCAAATCGACTGTGGTCAGATAGACTGAACATTTTGGTACTTCATGAAACGGGTGGAATATTTGAAAACAACATACAATTAGACTAGTTCAGCTGAATAATTTTCTACTAAGCCACTGTAATATCCATATACTTTCTCTTGAAAAAGAATTGGCCAATATTAAAGCAATAATTTCTTTCTAATATATAGGTGTACAAATAAACCAACTAAACTTCACATACACTTCGATAGGGTACTAGTTAAAAGCATTTTTTCGGTAAGTCAAATCAAAATGATGCAGAGAATCATTAGTCATTTCGCTGGTGAACAACACAGATCGATGTTGAAAAAATCAGCGTAACAACAAGAAATGCCAACAAGAACTGTGTAATATATTTTACACATCCTTTAAAACAATTCAGACGATTTCAATGACATTTTACAATAAATTTCAGAGTATTTACAAGTTATTGCTTCAAAATACAGATACAGTAAAATATGCAGAAACCTAAAAAGTTAAATAAAGCCAAGAGGACTAAAATATAACCCTCCAAAATGATAAAATAATTGTAAATCTACTCGATTATTTACCATAGAGTATGTAGCACAAAAGAGGAATGAAAATAAAGATAATCAAACTTCTTTCTGAAGTTTGTACTTAGGATGTTGCCTGAAAATGACAACGAAAGCTGCACGATTTTGAAGTTGGAATACACCTGTTATTTTACCGCCTTCTCCATTTACAGAGGAACCAATCAACCATCATAAGTGGAATCTGAAGGTTACTGTTCAAGTGCCCAATCTAACATATATATAATCAAGGGTATATCACTTACTAACCGCATAGAGTCTCACTTACTTGTCTATAAATGTTGCATTTTTGCTTTGAGTCTAGTGTATCAACTGAGTGCTTGCGCCGCTGTGCCACAGCAATCCCAGTATGAGAGCTGATAAACAATAAAACTAAGTGATGAGGAAGTGAATCATTAAAGAGAACCCATAAGAAACAAGTAAGAATTTTAGGGTGATAATCAAAGCAACTTGTTATTTCATTAGATAAGTCAAATAAAATAACACTCTAACAAGCTTACACCGAATGATTTCCAGTATGAATTTAAGATGAACAGTTGTGTCGCAAAAAACACTTTAGACAAGCAAAAATTAGACATAACCATGGTCTGTAGAAAGCCATCAGCCATACATTATGTGAGGACGCATGACACTACTCAGCTGCTAAGGTCGAGGAAGATGGGGTGGGGATTTGAGCCTAGGATACACTGTCTGAAACTCGAATGCTCAAAACAATAACAGAAAAAGGAGCTAATCAACGTTCCACAGAAACGTGGTAGTTCAGATTGTCACACTTCAAAACAGTACACCGGGTTAAAATCAACCTAAAAGTAATGATATTTAAGAAGATAAAAGTGTATGAGAGCAGGATAAATAATGAAAGCTTTTAAAAATGTTCAGTCATACTTTTGCTACCAATGACATTGAACCATATCAATGAAGACGCCTACACGGGTACCGATTTCATATTTCAAAATGCATCTATAAAACCTGGTCACGCCCACACAGTAAAAGCCGATACCAAACGACATTTTGGATAGATGCAAACGTTCCTGCAACGATATTGATATATCTTTTCCCGACTGACACATAACTGACCATGCAGTTAAACAAACCATTTCGTAAATTATTTCCCAATGAAACTCATCTTACAATGAATGGCTTTACACACTCTAAATGGCTAAACTTCCAGTACTCGTTAGAAAAATTATTTTGAAGTGGATGTCCTGAACCTCAGTAAATCATATCAGGAGTAAAAATGAAAATCAGATGAGACCTACGATTAGGCGACAACCTAGGTCTGTCTCTAAATGACTGAATTTGGTTAACACCTCCGTAACTGAAAATTAACATGGTAACAAATAAACCAGAAAACGATAAATGACCCTTAGTCTATCCAATTTTCAAAGCCGCTTTTTACATCTTGCCCAACCTTTTCGCAACCATACTCAGCATGTTTAAAACTTCAAAACTTTGTTGTTGTGAGCCATATTTATTCGTCTCACTGTGTAGTACACTGTCAAAGATCATAACAGCATGTTTGATCGAGTTCTACTGCAATTTATGAATTAATCTACTCCTGTCTTCTTAAAATTGTTGCTTGCTTTTAAAATTTGTACCGGAAAAAAAAAGGTTTTTCATCTTTTGAGGAGTTATTGTATTTGTTCAAATCCACAGGATTACGTTACGTTGTCCAATACAGTTAAATATTTTCACCAGGCAAATCAAGTGTTCATCAATGTAATTAAGATACATAAAAGCTTCACGTATTCCAATCATCACATGCAATCTTCATACACATACATACAAGATACACACGTTGGACCTAGTTACACATCTATTGTTTTCCTGCATTAATTATACAAGCATTAAATGAATAAGATAAGGACTATGCTAAATTTGTTTACTTAGACAAAGGTAATCATTACAGCTACAACCAAAATCACTGAGACTCAGGATAATAGCAAGAATCGCAACCACCTTAATCTCAAAAATGATCATGCTATATATCAGAGCTTCAGTAATAAGTATTTATAACAAGGAGGAAAAACAAATCCCGACCATGCATGCAGTTTGTGTATATGACAGAAAGAAACAGAGATGTGATATATAACTAGTTAATACAATCTCATACAAAGGTAGACAGTCACTTTTTTCACTAGTTCTATAAGCTTGTAAATCAACTAAAGAGAGGGAAGAGAAAAAAAATAGCGCAACAGCGCGTAACAGCTACATGAACTTTTATGGCATTAAACACGACACAGTCAATTTATGAATGTGTTCATTTGTGATTGTGATATAGTTGTTACATAAGATAGTCAATGTGAGAAACACATGAATTAGCCATTTACATGTATAATTAGGAAACATTTAGAGACTGAATCAGCTGTATTCTAGAGAAGAGAATGGGAAAAAACTTGATACCAAAATAATTAAGCAAGATAGACGAGTAAATATGCAGATGGCAGTTACGTAAGACAAGCAATACTTTTAAAACAGACTGATATTACATTTCTGAAACATCGTGGAAGTAAAATGAAGTATAAAAGTGTATAACCATATTATAAACTGTTCAGTCAGTCACAAAATATATAATCTTCACGTTGTTTAAGCCTAGATCATGACAATAAATTCATTCATGGAACCAACGTGGTGTTAGTACTTCATCAAGACGAATGCAAGAAAGGTTAGAAATGGTAGTTCAAGGTACACAGTATTAGGACGTTTAGCTGCTTTGCGGAAGCGTAAAGCTATTTAATTCCAAACTCGTGTGCACACAACAACACAGACAAAACAAAAGTCTGCGTATGCGGGAGGATTAAGTTTACCTTTTGTTCCATATCTGAGACTGCTTTCAGTAAGTACAGACTAATGAAATCCAATCTTCTCAGTGGGAACAACGTCACTCATTGAAGTCTAGGTACAGCCAGCTGACGAGTCCCAAACGGGACGAAATGTACGTCCTAAGTTTCACTCCAAGTCATCAAGATGATTACAACATAATGAATATCCAGTAGTATCGAGGGATCCTCATAGGAGCCCATCTTCCAGCAGAGGTCGAGCGATCCAACCCTGTATAGTAACAGGAAATTATGAGTGTCAAACAACAGCCAGCAAATGCCTTCAGGGGTATACACACATGAATAGTAAAAATGCCTAGTTTCATAGAAAACGGGTTGTTCAATTGGACCAGCAGACTGAAATCACCAGTCAATATATCTATTTCGATCGATGAATTCAGAGAACGCTACCAAGCTTTTACAACAAAGAAGACTAATATCAACGGTATGACACAAGAAAGAGAGGACTAGTAACGTACCAATTTTTCACGAGGTTTTGTTAGCAGAATAAGTAAGCATTTATTTTTACTAAAGTATTTTGTGTATAGATTGTTAATCTTAATTCTAGCACACATTTAGTGCAATGGTATGGCATTCAGATGAAAAAGAAATGCTCAATGGCATACTACGAGCAGATATAGTCCTGTTATTAGTAGCACTATTACTTAACGTAACAATGGTAGCAGGTCAACGCAGACATCAGAAAAAAAACAAAAATGATAACGGTTAAAAATAACGAGAAAAACAGCGAATGAATACAAGTTGTCATTTGTTGATTGTATAAAAACCCACATCACTAAAACTATGCTACTTTATTTATGATAATTAATCCAAGATGGTGTGAGTCAATCAAACAGTAGTCAAGATGAAATATGCAACATACAGGAATACATACACACATGTGTACATACAAAACTTAGACTTATCGGTTCTTTTTTGCTAGAAGCATGAAAAGTAAACTCCACATAAGATGAAATAGTATATCAGTGAATAAAAAACACTAAACAGATAAACGAGCTCATAGAAAAATGCGAATAATACAATAAGTGTACCGTCATTTTGTAGAGCTGTGGCTGTTACTACTATCAATATAGATAACAATTGTCTTCATCAGCTCAACAATTCATTTCTCAAAACGCCACTTAAATCCATCTCCGGAAAATCATTCGACAGACTAAATGAATAAGTATTTGAGTAAGTGAAGCGTGCTTAGTGGGCAAATCTTTCTGCCATTTCATTCATATACACACAAATTCAATACTGACAATTGTTAATTGAAGTGAGATTTTATATGCTGATATGTACGGTGCACTTACCATTCTTTTTATCAAAGACTGTTGATGTACAGAATAAAAAACTGACCTATTGAAAAGATTATACAATAATTATTATCAGTAGAAATAGTAACAGATTTTCGTTTACGCTAACTAATAATAGCCAACTGGGTGAATCAG